CGACGCAGCAGGAACAGCTAGGTGCTCCACATGTTGTGAAATAAAGTTACATCCAGTACTGGATTGCACTGGAAGTTCCCCTGAACAGACAAGGAAATGTATCTGCATATCTCTGTCAGTTGGAAGATGAGCAATTAATTTATGCTGTAATTTCACAGGGCTGCTCCATGTGCCCAAGGACTTTACCGTCTATAAATATTCTCAATAACCAATTTGTATCTAAAATTGGGCTTCGTTCCTGATGCCTAGAGCTTAAGACAGCCCCATCTGTTGTAGTTTAATAGTAAACTCATCAGAAGATCTTTCAGTTTAGTAATATTTCCCATTTGGCATTTCAAAGTACTACTGTCAGAAGAAGGAAAGCCGTGGAGCAGGCATAGCAGCCCGGTGCCCGGAGCGAGCCAGATCGCTTGCAGCACTCAGAAGATTCCAAGGAAACTCCTCCCTTCTCTCCTGAAAAGCAAAAACTGTCTTTGGGAAAGTGGAAAAGCAGGCAGACTTTTATCAATCGCACTATTTCAGGAGACTGAGGTGGAGGTTTTATTTTTTTTCTGAGTCTGCATGGAAGGAGTTTTGTGGGATGGCTGCAAAGGGAGCTGCCTTGTCTGCACAGGAGCCTCACCTGCCTGTGCACTGCAGAAACAGCACTTCCCCAAACAAAGTGGGTATTACAGAACCAAACATGTAGGTGAGAGAACAAAAGAAATGAAAGCATCAAGAAATTTTGCTTTCTGATGGCATAAAGATCTAACCATGAAATTCAATATGGCGACAACATAAATAAGCAAAGAAAGTGAGGGCCAGTAAAAAAAAAAAAACAAACAAGTTCTTCTTGTGAGTATAGAAACATTTCTGTTTCCTTGATGCAGTGAAAGTGAAAAGTGAATTTGTGGGGCTCTGCACTGAGTGGGTTATGCAGGCAAGGAAATGGAATGGAGCCACTGTGCTTCCTCCCAGATCTGAAATAAACATTCAGAAGTAAAACCTCGAAGAAAATGAGTCTGACAGACTCATTCTCCCTTGTGTTTCCTGCCTCCGTGTTTGCCAGGCCTCACTTGGTGAAGCCAGGCCTTGCCCCTTGTGAATAAGGTTCATAGAGAAGGAAAGGCAAGAGGTCTAAGTCTAAGATGGAAAGAGAAGCGTGGCTTAGCTTCAGAATGTATTAATTAGTGAAGATTTGGGAAAATGATGCATTGCAATGTAAAAAGTCAGGCTGTAGGTATACTGTTACGATGAAATGAATCCTAAAGCGGGAATAAATGTGATTATATTTGTACTGCCTAGCGTCTAAGTCAGTCTCACAAAGGAGAGAAACCACAGTCTGGCGAGTCAACACACTCTTCTTCATCTTTCCCATGAGTAGGAAGCAAATTCAAGTCAAAATACCAACGAGCATAATAATAAGGTAGTTATCCTGGCTCTTCCAGGAGGGAGGATATTTCTGTATGGTACAAGAGCGTAGAAATCATAGAGTTAAAACATGCAAATTACACATTGCCCTGCAGTGGTGATAAGTGGCTTGGGACTTAGCAGGGGGCAAAAAAAAGAATTGCTATCTATTAGGAAGGGAAGGCTTTGGCAGTGTTGTGTGACTGGGGCCACTGGAGTGGTTTTGGGCCAGTTTCTTTGGCAGGGATGAGCTGGTTGTGCAGCAGATGTACTGAATGCCCTGGCAGTTAGGCAGCTGCTACGGTGCACTGTCAGCTAGAGGAGCACAGGAGATCTGGCTCTGGTGGATGATTACTGACTGCCTGGGTGCGCTGGCAGCTAAAGAGGTTGTCGGCGTTTCCACTGCAGCCTTGGGAGCCTGGCTGCTTGGTGCAGGCACAAGAGGCTGAGCGTGGCGTGGTGGTGTGAGCACAGAAAGACACGGAGCAGGATTTCTGTGCTCATCTTTTCAGCTCTGATGCTGGCCCACGCTGTGAGCAGCACCTGGGCTCAGTCTCTTGGTTTTCCCACAGGGGAGTGAGCATTGCCTCCCTGGCAGGGCAGAGTTAGCTTCCATGATGTGGTTTTGCAGTGAAATCCATGGACACCTGCAGAGCTCCGCTTGGATTCAGTCTTGAGCCCTTTGCCCTGTGCTTAAGGGTCCCGGCTTAGCAGTGGGATTGCTCACTTGGAATTCTCTTGATGATGAGCAGGGTTTTTGCTGGTGTGCTGGTCTTTCATATCATCCCAGCCCTTTGGCAGGGCTGTGGGGTTGGGATGCCAGCCTTCACATCCTTTTTGGGAATGAGTCTGAAAGCAGGCATGGACTAGCTCAGTGCTCCTGCTGTCCTGCCAAAGCTTGGAATTGCAGCTCCTTGCACATCCTCCATCTGGTGTCGCACACTCATCTTCATATCTCCTTCTCCTTGGGCTTTGGCATTTCAGCTGGCTCCTGTCTAGCCTGTTTCATCACTGCTTCTTCTGCTCTCCTGCTGCAACCTCAGGTCCCACATTCTTGCTTTTCTCAAGCACAATTGGTACAATCATCACCCTTCCTTTCACAGAGCCTTTGAAGCTTATACATCTTTCGATGAAGTTCTGCTCTGCATGTACAGGTTGTGTCTTAATTTACTTGATTTCTTTCCTTAAATTCATCAAGAACTGAGCTTTTTTTGCCTTTTTTTTTTTTTTTTTTTTTTATTTCCCCTGCAGCCACACAGAGAAAAGTTGTCTCAGCTCATTTAATAATTTATGTTTTGAATATTGCCACCACACTGCTTTTTACAAATCCCATCTTGTTACTGTATCTTGAATCCATGTAGATTTGTCCTACCATTGAAATGGCAGAGGGGTGAATACATGGGTGAAACAATGAAATAATAGTGGTCAGCTTCTGGGCAGTGGCTTCAGCAAGGACATGACCTGTGTGGTCATCAGCTCAACTAAGAGGATGTTAGGCATTGCTGCAAATGGGTATTGTAGTCAGGAGTCTGAGGGAAGGTGGTGTAATTCTGTGGATGCCCATCTATGCGTTAGAGCTATTGTGGAAGAAGACATTTCTCAGCTTTGATGATCAGCTTGCTAAGGATAGGATAATCCTCTTGGTTTGCTAAGTGTGAAGTGCTTTGTAATGAAGCCCTGGCCATTAGCCACTGAGAGAACAGTATTAAGAGTGATCAACTTCATTGCAATAGGCAGGATAAATTATGAAGGAGAATGGCTTCATTGTTCTTTTTATCCAGGTATCGTTGTTCAGAAATCATGGTGTTATAAAGGTGCTTACTTTTGTTACTGCTAATATGCAACCTTATCGTATTCTCATTGAAATTAGTAGGAAAGACCTCAGTGATTTTTATTTTTTTTAAGAGTCAGGTCTCTATGATGAGTAATTTCAAAATGAAATCTATTTTTTGTCATCACACATGTTCATTTTTGTTCGTCACTCATCCTAGTTAGTAAAAAATGAGACTTGAAAGATACTTAAAACTTTGTGCCATTACAAACCCAACCATCCCTTTGACTAGATCCTGAAGACACATACACATGTATGGATCTTCAGGGAAGAATAAGCATATATACAGCCTTGCTTACATATTTCTTGACAAGTAACTGGGAATTTCTCATTACCTGTATTGATCAACAGCACAAACAAAACACAAAGGAGGCAAATTTGGAGCTACTCAATTCATTTGGTTGCATGAGGTTTAAGTCATGGAGAATTTGTCGACTGGTCTCTGCTTTTCTAGATTAGTCTCTAGGGATGCTTGTCCATGGCTGAGATTTAGCAAGGCAGGGGAAGGTGGCAGAGCTTGCCTTTGGGCCCCCATGGACCCTTTCAGGTCAGTCTGGGTGAACTGCAGTGGTAAGTTTCACTCCTTGTCTCTAGGTTGTTTTGTTGTTGGATTCAACCCAACCAAAAAAAAATTTATAAAAATGTTCCATTTTTGCTAGCATTTAAAACACTTACAACACTGCATCATTCAAATGAGAGTTTAAATATATACTTTAGAAATTAATGTAGGTGTTAGCCACATTATGCTGCATTGTACTCGTTGGCACAAACTGTAGTAGTGACATAGTTCAGAAATAATGGGCTGCAGTACGTATGATGCTGAATCTAGAGCTAGAGGAGCGATGTGATGTTTTCCAGCAGCTCAGGGCTGCACAGGACAGCCCTGGAATCAAGACCTTCACCAGGAGGTCAGGTGAAAACCAAAGGGAGAAAAACTGACAGGAAACCGATGCTCCAGGGGTCTGCTGTGAGTTTTTTGTCTTGGTTTTTCTTTTCCTGAAACATGTGTTTGTAGCACAATTGCACAGTTGTGGCTCCTGGAAGAGTACAAATTGCTTGTGTTTATTGCTTATAGCTGCTTTACAACGCTGCTTGAGTGACAGGAACACCTATGCAATCTGCTTTGATGAATGAGCCAGGAGCAGTGCAGTGCTCTGGTGTTCTGGGCCAGAGCGCCTGCTGTAGCTTTGAATTCAGAAGTAATTATAGTCTGATTAATTTTATTTATTTATTTAAATGACTGGAGAATTGCTGTGTTCTATCATTAGACTTGCTCCCACTCAAAAATTCAGCTAGAGCAGTTACTACACAAAATCTAGCAACCTGCAAATTTGACACATACCATTTGTTCTGAATTGGTGTCATATTCTCCTTTTCCTTTGCTAGTAGCCAAAGTCCCAGGAGATGGTGCTTATCAGGAGCATTATTTTAGATGTCAAGATCTTACAGGAAAATGAAGTTTGGAATTTGTTTTAAAGGAATGATAATAAAAAAATGGGGAGACCAAATAGAAAGGCTTTGTGTGTGGCTTTCTTGTTTCATTTTACAGTTGTCATACTACTTTAAAATGATCTTTGCCATCTCAGTAGTTCATTATCTGATTTCCTTTGATAGTTTCCTAGATCCATAAATTGTTGAGCTCCATGCCACTATTTGGTTTCAGAAAGCTTTGTTGCCTGGCTGTAGATTTCTTTCTTAACTTACTCCACTAAATCTCTTGGCCCAGTAATGATCATTTTCTACAGAAATACTTTTGCCACATGACCTAGATGATGAGTTTTTAATAGAATTTGAAAGTTATGACAGTCATGTTCCATATTTTGCATTTCCATGCAAACATAAAATGTAACCACACAGCTGCTTGGAAATTGGTTTGAGAGTAAATACGGTAAAGCTGAGGAAGGTTTTCTTAAACAAATATAAGAGGTGTTTGTATGAAATGTTATGGTAAAATGCTTTCATGGTGAAGACTTTTTAAGTGGTTTGACTATGCAGGGGCTTATAACTCTGAGGAAAAATGTCTTCACTGTGATTTTATTTGATTTGGTTCATGGGCACCTCAAGGAACTGTAATTGTGTCAGTGACCTGCTCCAGCTGAAAAGACTGTAGGGCAGTAAGATTGATTAACTGCTGGTTTTCTGTTATTCTCTTGTTGCAGTCTTAAATATTTTATGGCAACACAGACAAGTTTGTGTGATGAATGTATGTTAAAATATTTCTGACGTTGAATGCCAGAGCAAAAGTCATAAATAACTCTCCTTTTCATTTTCTTTAAATTACATACGTATGAGTCTCTGTCATAATTACATGTGCCATTTGGAGATTTAAATGCATTACACTTTATGCACTTGACTTATGAAACAAACATTAGTCTTTGAGGAGGTGGGCCAAACCTGACACTTCCTCGCGTAGCGCAGATACGGTTCGATTTATGCAGTCCTCCCTTCCTTCCAAATGCTTATTGATTACATAAATAAGTAGGTAATTTTTCTCTTTCAGAACTTTGCAGAAAACACTATGAATGAGCTCCTTGGCTGGTATGGTTATGATAAGGTTGAATTGAAAGACGGAGAAGATATTGAATTCAGGAACTACTCAGCAGATGGGGAAAGCCGCCAGCACATTTCTGTTCTCAAAGGTAATGAGACTTCATGTTTCTGTGCTCATGCAAGGAAGGATTAATATCTCAACCTGTCTGAATTGAAATGGATTGGGAGGCGTGTTCTGTTGCGTGCTTTGTGGCTGGTTTACACAAAATACTGGAGACTGCCTTTTTTTTACACAAAACATCGTAGAGGAAGCCAATAGGGTACAAGGAAAATCACTTAATAAAATTACTGTTAGTAGGCACTTATCAATGTATCTTTATGAATATCTTTTGTGAGTGAGTTAAAAGTCATGTACCTGTGGTACCAATGGACTGCTCACAACTGGAAAAAAGAGGGATTACTTTCCTAGCAGCATGGCTTTCAGGAACCCTTTTGTTTTCAACACAACTTTTTTTGGGCTAAGGCTTTTTAAAACACTGAAAGATTTGGGCTGGAATGTTCACAATGAATGTAGGAATGAGCGGGAATGTTCACAAAAGGCTCCTTGCCTATGTTTGTACTATACTGTCTTCTGCAAATGCTGTAGAAGTTCTCCAGGGATGGAATTTATTTCCAGCACTCCAGGTGCAGTGCTAGATCTTGGTGATTCAGAGTGTGAAGGATGGGATCTAGTCTGTTGGTTCATCTGTGCAGTTGCTGCCTTCTGACTCCTCAGTTGCAGGGGGTGAGTAGGGACTTGTCATCAGAGTGAAGAGTAAGAAATTGCTGCGTCTTGACTTATCCAACAAGAGTTCCTCGAAGGTGAGGTAAAGAGAGGAAATTGCAGCAGCTGTTATGCTCTTGGACTGCTGCATTTCACTGCCTTTTGTGGCCAGCAGCATTTGTCCTTTTTTCTTTTTTTTTTCCCCTGATGCCCAGCAGCAGCACTGTGTTCAGTGGGCATTGTAATGAGTACTGATACCAGAGAGACCAGTTCTGAAGGAGAGATGGCTAGAAAAAAGGTGGAAAAATTAAAGGCAAGCTGAAAAAACCTAATCGTGTTAAAATTGAATGTTTGCAGCTTGTTAGTGCTGTGGTGACACTGATGATCAATATTTGTTTTTCATTGAAAATGCAATGCCATTAAGCCACCCTTGAAGAAACTTGTTCCTGTGTAGTAGTGATTCACTTATTTATGTTTTAATAAGTAGAATTTTTATTGAATGATTAGTGGCTCTAGTCTATACTTAATAAAATCTGTGACATACTTTTTTTTTATAGACACATGATACAAGTCATGTATTTTATGTACCAGACAAAGCTGTTGAATACCTGTGACTGGTAGAAAAGTTTGGTGTATGCAGCCTATGGGAGGAAAAAAAAATGTAATTCTTTTTCTGATACATGGGAGGAAGAGGAATAATAAGAATTAAGTCCTGCCCCATAGCTAACTGAGATGATTAGAAAAATTCTTGCAAATAAAGGTCCTGAGGTGACTTGGGATTAAAGAATTAGGATAATAACCATCATGATTTCATGCACACTATAGTGTAATTTCAATATTTTGTTCCTTTCTTTAAATCCTTTCCATTACTACTACTCATATTATTGATAGAGAATTAGGAATTCTTTTATTTTTAAGTTTATTCTTCTTGAATTGGTTAAGTCACAGTACACTGAGGGTGGTCACCATGCAAACAGTGTAAGGACAGGAAAAGGGTGTCATTGGTTAAATCAGACATAATAACTATATGTATGACAAAATAATCCCACCTTTTTTTTTTTATAAAAAAAAAAGAGTGTGAGTTCGATTTTTAAAATTGGAGCATTTCTGAGGAATACTGGAAAGTACCCATTCTTTTAAAGGGAAAAATCTGGGCTTTTTTGTGCACTCTTCTTGCATTAGGGTATGTAATGTAATTAATATATTGGTGAAAGTATGTAGGAGCATTTAAGAAATATATTTGTCATACTGTACAATGTGTTTTTTGTGTTTTACAGAAAATTCTTTGCCAAAACCAAAATTACCTGAGGACAGTGTTATTTCACCGTACAATATAAACCCAAGCTACCCAGGGCTTGCCACAGGAAATGGACTTTCAGACTCACCAGCAGGGTCGAAGGATCACGGCAACATACCTATTATTGTCCCATTAATTCCACCACCTTTCATAAAGCCACCAGCAGGTAAATCCTTGATGAACTTTTAAAAATGGTGACTATCTTTGACATGTCCTGAGATTGCTAGATCTTGACATTTTAGTAAGAAGGTTGCTTTCAATGTGTTTCGAATCTAGTCAGAGAACTTTAAAATAGGGAGTGACTTTATTTCTGAGTATTCTTGAAGAACTTTTGCAAATGCAATGACAACAGACTTGTGCTGGCTTGTGACACTTGACATACTGGGTTATGTTGTCAGCACTTGAACCACATCTCCTTTTAGAAAAAAAAAGATTTTGTTCTGATGAATAAAGCCTTTAAATGAATTAATGGATAAGCTCTATGAAGGAAACAGTGAAAGAGACAAACCCATCAAATCGATGTCATGTCTTTATTTCAGTTTAACAAGCTCATCCTGGGAAAACTCTCTTGATTCTCATTGAAATCCCTGACTGCTGTCTCTTGAGGGTTTACTATGATCCTGACTCTACCCAGGAGACTGCACTGAGATGTTTTATATTTTCATTAGTTTTTTATCAGGAGTGATTTTATAACATGCCATTCCTGAGAGTTTGCATGAAAAATTATTTATTCCATATTGCATGCTGCTTACCGTAGTCTGTGAAAGTCGCTTTTAAGGCTACACCAGGGTGATTAATTGCTGTGTTATTGTTTACTGCTGTACATGGTGTGATAACTGGTGCATTTAGATAGGAGCAGGCTCAGTCCTGCTTCAATGGATGTCCCTGTGTGCCATCCTGGGTGCTCTTGGATGATGGAGGCACTGAGGAGTACAGGGTGACCTGCAGTACCTGCCCTGAACAGCAGCTCCCTGCATACAGGAAGGCTGCTTGGCTAAAGAGTCCCCAGCAGGTTTGGGGATGCTTCTGCAGAGTCAGAACAGCTTGGAGGGTCAGGTCCCAGGTGTTAGATGGCCACCTCTGCCCTTCGTTGCATTGACTAAAGGTAACTGCAAAGTACTGATCGGTCTAAAGAAGTGTTTGCCCGTTGACAGCCATGTGATAAGTTGCCCCTCCCAGATTATTTTTGTGCTGCTGAGTTTTATCTCTAAAGAAGTATACTAATATGCTATGAACAATTTTCAAACATTACTCAATATACATTCCCTGCCAAAGACTTTTAATCTATTTTATACGATATTTGCTAATTACCAAAGCTATTTGGGCCCATTCCTGCAGCCTTTACACAGCTCAGGATCTCGGGCCATATGGGCTGGATCCTCAGCTGTTGTTGATTTGGCCCTAAAGCTTTAATCAAGGGCTTGTGCCATCCCAAGCTATTTCCTCCTCCAATCTGAGTCGTGAATGGATCCAGAACGCTGCATTTGTGCTACACGAACACAAGGCTATAACATGCATTGTGCAAACTGTCACAGTTGCTGGATTTTTATGATATCAAACAAGGAGGAGGAGATGGAACTATGAAGTAGAAAAACAAATTACTGCAACAGTAGTTAAGTGGACACAAGGGAACCTCAGCCAAGTCAACTGCCTTCTGTTCTTTGCCTGTCCATCTACCACGTGTGCTCCCGTGCTCAAATGTACTGCTGAGTTTAACACACAGAGGAGGCTTTTCATAAGTATTTCCCAACTTTAGGTTTTTAATTCAGTAATTCATAATGAATATTGCTCTACTTGCAGAGTGGATGTAAACACATAATCTCTGCCTCCTCTGACTTTATCCTGTGATCAGTAATGAGTGCTAGATTACCATGACTTCTGAGCAGATGAACACCTTCGTTTTAGAGAGCAAAGTTTAGGAGGACCAGAGGGGGAGGAGAATCACAAGCTTTGTGGGATTTGCAATAAGCATTGGTAGTAATTGTTTTGTTTTATCTTAGGGCGTAGGTGCCCTAGTCATGATCACCCCAAAGAGCCTGGCAAGAAACAACTGGTGAATACAAGTAGAAAAGGGAGTACAAAGGAGCCAGGAGAGCCAGCGTGCAAGGCAGTGGTCTTGGCACTGCACTTCGACACAATTTTGTGGGCACTACATCAAAGCAGAAAGCTTCAGAGTGATACAAAGCCAGACGAGTAACTCTGGGGATGTTTTCTTGGAGCTCCTCACAGGCACAGGGGACAACTTTGGAAACAGCACAAAGGTGCTTCTTTGAGTTGAGAAGGCAAATGAGAAATACTCACATCTTTAATTGCTAAAGCTGAAAGTCAACATTTTCAACATGAGAGAGAGACAGGTTGTGACTGACCTGAACAAGAACGGAAACAGCTTGCATTTGTTCAGGTTAATAAATGAAGACAGGAGACTGGAGGGAGAGGCAGAAAGAGTCCAAGAGAAAACTTCAAGGTTAAAATGCTGAGCAGAAAAAGGGACCTTTGCAGCACAGTTTGAGTGAATGCACGTAGGACAAGGTTATGTTACATGCCAGAGAGAAAGCCAGGTAGTGATGCACTGTAGTGACTGAGATGCTGAGAACTGGGATGAGTCCACACTTTGTGGATGGATGGGGAAAGCTTTTAGATACTATACAGGAGAAAAATCTACAAGATTTAAATATAGCTCAAAAGAGAGTGCCCACAGATGAAAATGATATGTAAATCATGAACCAGAAGGACAGGAAAAATGGTGTGGTCCACCATTACTAAGGAAATAATACGGAGTGAGCACTCAGGGAGAAATTATTAAGACTTTAATTCTTGCTGTATTGATCTTGAACTGAAGGGTCAGCACCAGTAAAGAAGTGTCAGAGGGACAGGCTGAGTTATTCATTTGTACAGGAAAGCAATGGTCTGGAGAGGATAAGCAGGTCCAAGAAACAGTCACAATGAATTATTAGTTGAATAATTTCTGTGGATAAGATTCTATACAGATAAGAGGGAGAAGAGAAAGTGCAGAGCATGGGCGATGCTTGCAGAAGCCTCAGGGGAGACATAGGAAGGATGCTCTGCAATGTGCACTGATCTAGCAATTGCAGAGGCAGAAAAAGCACTAGGGGAAGGCAGAGTCAGGAAGCCAAGGGAGACAAGGTTTCCAGGGAGGCAGACAGGATTCTTGGTGTCAGAAACACCTACTAGCTCGAGAATGAGGAGGAAGGAGTACTGATCCTGGACTATGGCTAGGAAGCAGTCAGTGAAGATTTCAGCATATTAGATCTTAATAAAACATGCTGGAAAACTTTGAACAGTGTTCTATCTGCATTAGTATCTGGCATGAACAGGCTAAAACCGTGAACAGTTAACAAAATTACTTGATTTCCCCCTCATGCGTATTTTACAGTAAAGTGTTATTTTTCTTTCAAAAACCAAATAATTTTGAGCAGTCTGACTAAAATTTTGTCTCTAGGCTGTTCAGCTTTCTGTTTTAGTCAAACGAAATATTAATTAAAAATTTGCTTACGCAGTTCTGGAAACCATTACATTGCTACCTGACCAAATACAAAATTCTCTCCTTGTTGTACCCCAGAATTACACCTGAAAAAGGCTGAGTTAAACTCATGGACCCTGTCTGGTGTATTGGCCATCCACAGACTCAGATTATGGCATGTCAGTGGAGGATACCAAATTCAGTTATGGGAGGCCTCCACAAGAAGGGTGCCATTACTCAGATTTGGAAACTGTTTGCAAGAGTGCTCCACTGATCTGCACCACCAGGCAGATGGACCACACTCAGGCAGTGCTCAGATCAAACAGGACTTTATCAGCCAACATCAGCCATCCAGCCTGCATCTGAAAGCAAATAAAAAGTCAGTGCAGCCTCCAGAGAGTTGGTGTGATAGTTTCCTTGTGGCTGATACCCATCCTTCTTGCCCAGCAGGCTGGTAGCTACATTTAGTGTTTGCTGACAGTTGATTCTGAGTGATCTTCAGGGTTAGTCTCAAGTATAACCTATTGCTGATACTAAGATTAGTTCTGCTTGGTGTTAGAGGTTTCTTATTTTCTGCACAGAAATGTAAAGGGAGTATTTTTTCTCCATTAAAAATTATGTAGAAATAGCAAGGAACAGAAGTGCAATAGCCAGGAATGATCCTAGAGGTAAATACCCCACTGCAGTTGTGCAGGGTATGTGTAGTATGCAGCATGGAAGCATCCAAAGAGTTATTCTGCAGCCCTTAGTGATACAGTAAATCTGAGAGGGCACTTAAGGTGATTCTGCCCTTTTGCTCAGACAAGTTTGGACAGCTGTTGTTACATGGGATGAAGGAAGGCTAAAATCAAGACTAGTCAAGGAAGAATGCAAAAAAATTCTTTCATTGCAGGTGAGAACATGCTGCCTTCTTCCCTTGGCACCTGCTGGAGGCTATGCTGTCTCCATTTCCCCATTTTTTTGAGTGCTCTTTGGTTTATTTTCTTTTGTGATCCCTGTGGTAGTGTCTCGGTAGGGGTGGTACAACTGCTGGTTGATCTAATCTTTGAGCTTGTGTGTTGGCAAAACCTTTCCCTTTCCTGACTCCTTCTGTGTACAAGAGATGCACAGAGTGTGCCTGCTGTTCTAAGCATCCCAAAGAAGGACCGACTCCCTGCCATGCTGTGCTGCAAGGGGAGGTCACTGTCAAGGGATGCAGTAGAAGAGAAGGCAGAGAGGATAATATCATGTAGTTGGCTGAGCTTTCCCCACAGGAGAAAGAAACAGAGGAAAATATAATGCTCCCTCAAAGAGTCTTCACAAGATAAAGTACATTTGGTAAAGGAGGGGGGTTTTAAATCCTCCAACCCACAGATCATTGTCTCTGCATAAGAGTTTGTTTGGTGGTTTTCAAATAATAATGATAGGAGTCATGCCAAAAGTTATCAGAAACTCATGGAAGTGAAAGAGGAACGGGCTGGAGGAACTGTATCAGGTGAGCCAAAATGTCTTAAAGGAAGAGGAGAAGCATTTCCCGTGCTGACTACCTTTTAAAATAGGCCTGTGAACTAAACTGTCAAGGAGATTTCATATTGTAATTAGAGAAGTTATGGAAAGGAACAAGTGATTTTCCGTGTTATAGCTTAAATTGTTTTAGAATTAAAGTTTACAGGACTTTATTTTTTTTTTTGTAAATACAAGTGCCC